GTGCTTTCAACCAGTCACTTCACTTTCTTTGTTTCTTTTTTCAATTAATTTCTTCTTTAAGATATAAAATACGTTTATCTTTCAGTTGGTTTAATGTGAATCGGGGTTTGAAGTGACGGGTTCTTGTCTAGTACGTTCTCCTTTCCCCACCTCACTCCTCCTCCAACATTTTTCTCCCTGAGCTAATCTCGAAGGGGCTTAAAAAGTGGAACCGGTGGGTTTCCTCAGCACAAACTGGTTGGTTGGTCCTCAGATTTCTCTCACTAGCAGCATCCTGGGAACACATTTTAAGGATGGATTCTGGTGTTGCAAAAGTCAACCCTGGATCTCCCAATGTCTCTTCCAATCAGGTCTGTAAAATCTGTCCCTTTCAAAAACATTTCTCACCTTGTGGACCCCAGTTCTCTTTTTAACTGAGTGGTGGTGGTGGGGAACCTTAGCCATGTTGATTGGTACCTTTTTGTTGAAAAGAATAATGCACCGAAAATGCCACTCACAGAACACAAACGGGGTTACCCTCTCTGCATCCGTGAGCAGCAACAAAACCAATTGGCTTTACAAGGGTGTGAAAAGTTATGGATCTGTTCAGTTTCTAATGAAAGTTATGTTAAGCAGAACTTGGGGTGCAGATTTGCCTGTGTGAAATTCTTAGCCAACAGACAATATTAAACAGACTCATAACTAACTGCACTTAAGAAATCTTTCTGTGCCTCAGAAATGGCTTCTCTGCATTGAAGTAATTTGACTTCCATCACAGTGGTGTAGCAATTAAAATAGCTCCAGTTCTGAAATCTGGTTCTATCGGTAACAAGCTGTATCCTTGTTTGAAAAAAGCTCTTGAGAGTTTTTCTGGCCATTGAAAATGTGTGTTTGTGTGTGCCTGCTTGTATGTTTATATCGGGAGATGTTGCACATGCACATGGAGCATGCACGTATGTGTATGCATGCAAGGTCGGCTTCGTAAAACAGGTCTGACAAAGCTGTCATGGAAACCAAACATCCCTGAAACTCAGGGAAGGTGCTTCTTGAAACCAGAAATTGGTAAAAACATTAGATAAGTGTCTATGAAGTAGAGCCCTGACTGCCCCATCCCAACTTTTCCTTTCCAGAGAGGGCAGTTCTTTTCTTTCCAGTCCTTTGAACATGTTGGATAGAAAAATGGAAGGAATCTCTTCACCACATTTTTTACATGTAAAATTTCACTCTTTCAGCTGCTATGTGTGAAACCCAGCTGGACCCAGAGCTGAAAATGTTCTTGGTTCAATCTGCAGCTGCACTTCAACCTTTCTTCCTACCACCGCTGTCCTCCTCCTAGGCCCTGACCTGAACACTGACCCAGAGATTATCAGCTTGCCAAATCTCATGTCAACAGCCAAATCAGAGTGGTATAGCAATTAAAATAAACAGCAGCGTGATGGTTCTTGATATCCAGAGATGAGCCCTATAAGTATTTCCTGTTACAGTAAATGCGGTTGTCACAGCCCTGAGCCATAGCAGGGATGTATCTAGGGACTCTCTGAGGTCTCCAGCATTTAACGTTGGAGTTATTGTCACATCCTAGACTGGTGTGTGGATGTTTGTATATTTGCGCACACACAGGAGTGTGTAGCTTTTTTTAAACCAGGATGCACAACAGGAGTGCTTACTGCCTGTTTTGGTCTTGCATTAGCCTGCCGCTAACCCTAATCCAAATTCTCCCTTTTCACAGAATGCGCATTGTTTTGGGCTGGCATCCAGATGTGCTGGTTGCTTCCCATTAGTTAAGTGTGACAAATGCCGTTAAAACAGCCAAAAAGTAATGCTGCCCTGAGACCCCACGAAGCTGACCTAAACCCCTGGGTGCTGGTGAGGAGGGTGGGGAGAATTGCTTCGCAGTTGTTTGTGAGCGTGCTCTGCACGGCTCCGGCACCATGGCCCTGAGCTTGTGTTTTGTGAGTGGATCTCTTCCCTTCCCTGCCCAAAACCACGCAGACAGCAGCAGTCTGTTCTCTTCAGACTCCGATTCTCAGCACTTTACCATACATCAAATGATGCTTTTCAGTTATTAAATTCTGGTTTGTTCTTCCTTTTTCTTTTTTTTTTTCCCTTTCTCTTTTAGTTCGGTTTTATTTCTTTGTGATTAGCCTCAGTTTGAATTAATTGTCGTGTTCTGTTTCCATGACAACTCAGTGTTTGCATCCCACCTGCCGTTGTTTGATGCTGTTGATGCTGTTTGCTGACCGGATCTTATCCGGCATATGTCTCCCCATTTCTCCTCACCTCTTCCCACCTTGCCTCCCCTCTCCAGAAGGTTACATATCAGTCCCTCCTCAAAAGAGCCATCCCCACCCCAGATCTGTCTGCATGTTGACCCAACTTGTTTCTTTTCAAGTTCTCTCCATCTTGTCTCAGATTGTGACCGGTGTGGTCTTCACGTGGCTCCATTTTCTGAAATGCGGTACCTCCTGAAGCAGGCAGTGGGAAGAAGGATGGAGTAGGCAAAAGGGACGTACCCTCATGTCTAGGGCTAAAAGTCTTCTGTAGCGGTGTCACAGGAGGGAAAAGGAGCATGGTGCTTGCTCTCTTGAGCCAGTGCTGGTGCCTGAGGTTGTGCAAATACCGTGGTACTCTCCTTACACCTTTCTCTAAGCAGAAAGTCATCTTCTAGTGTTAGTGTCCAGGTGAGTTTGCAGTCTCTCGCTCCACATTCCAGTCCTTTCCCCAGCTGCATTGGAGGTGAGGGCATGCTATCTGTTCTCTTTGCAAATCCATGCATGCAGGAATTCTCCTTGGACATCTCTGAGCTCCTAATGCCACAAATCTGGAAGTCTTCTCTTCCTTGCCTTTGGCTCCTGACTACTGGTAACTGTGCAGAAAAGGATCTGATAGCACGATGGGAAGAACACACCTTTCTGTGAAGACATCTCCTTGTCAGCTTGCAGGAGGGGGCAGAGGCTGTATTTGGCTTTTGTTTAACGAAGCCCCACTAAATGGAAAACAGCCACTATCTCTCCTGGCACCACCATTCCCATCTGAAAAGATCCATAATGTTGAGCAGCAGCCAGGGGAGTGGGCTGGAAGATAAATACTAGAAAAACCCAAGACATAGTTCTGGGGGATATCTGAAGGCACTAGGACTTGGGAAGAGCAACACCAGGCTAAGCTTTGATGTCCTTTGCATTGCTTTTGCATGGATGCAATTGCGGCTGATTTTTTAGAGAGGTTGTTCAGAGAGTTTACTGGGAATAGAACAGCAGGGACAGGTATTTTTCAGGCCCCCAGCACTCCTAACTCTCCTGCCCCCTCGCTCACCCTACCTGAGGGGAGTTCACTGCATGGCTGTCTCTGAAGCTGGAGGAATCCTGTGCTCCTTTTCTCCTTAGGCTGCTGCTGTGCCTGTAACTTCTCAGGGTCTGTATCCTTTTGTCTTTGCTTGTGGGATGGGACCTTGCCCTCAGTTCCCTCCCTAGGGCTTCTCTGATCTGCTTACGTTTCTCCTTTGTCCGTTCTTCTGCTTTCACCCCTAAGGAAGAGCACCCACCTCGGCCATCCAGCTTCCCAGTTTAGTTCAGAAAATGGAGCCAAGGAAACCGCACCCTCCCCTTTGTGTCCATGTTCTTACTGTGTAAGGTCTGGAAGCTGCATCCACTTCTCTGCTAAGGAGATGCACAGAACATGTCACTGTTTTCTCAACGTTAAAGTTTCATTACCTTGTTTTTCTTATTAATTCTATTCTATTTATTATTCCGCCAGGGCTGAGATGTGACAATGTGAGCCACCACATTGGGTCACATCAGCTAGAAAAAGTATGCAGCATTAAAGTGGGTTTCCCCCTCCCCTCCCTCTCTTTCTCTCTCTTCTTTCTCCCTTCCCCTCCTTGTTCTCCTTCTCCTTGTCTTCCTTTCTTTCTCTGTCACTCTCTTTCTATTCAGTATCCATGTGGGCATTTGCTAGCCGCCCATAAATTATATTTCTCTGCATTTTCTTCTCTCTTTCTATCTTTTTCTCTCTCTCTTTTTTACCTATTTTGCATGATGTTTGTGACTCTGAGAGCTGCATCTATCAATGGAACCGTGTCAGATCTTAAAGAGGCTTCGTTAGGGTTTCTATACCCGAAAACCACAAAAATTTCATTAGAGTTTCTCATCTTTTCCACACTCCTTCTCGGTCCAGGGGGACTGCCTCCCCCTGGACGGTTCTCACACGCAGACACTAACTAAATTCTGTCCCGCTCCAGGGACTCCCTCTCCTCCCTTTTTTACATTTTTGCCTCTTTACTTTTCGAGTGGTGTCTCTCTGGCGTTTGGGAATGTGATACTTTTCTCTTTGTTGGATTCTCTGGGTCCAACAAGGCAAAATCTTGAGAAGTTTCCATCTCCACCCCAGCCTTCTCCTCACCACCACCCCACCTCTGCAGCATCCCTCGGGCACGGAGCGGCCGGTGGGAGAGGGCCCCTCTCCGGAGACGGAGGAGGCACCTGGACCATTTCAGGCCATGGTGGTGGAGGGGCTGTTGCGTTTTGCCATGGGAGAAGGTGATATGAGAGTCGGACTCCACTGGAAAAGGGGAGGAGCAGGTTTCCCGGGGCGTGGAGCGGGGAGCTGGGGGCCCCAGCGGCTGTGGAGGAGATTTTTCGACGCTCGCCATGCCAGCTCTTGCCAGTAAAGATGAGAAATTGCTAATAAATTTTTGTGTATTTATCTGTGCTGTGATGGGTCTAATCTTGATCAATGGAACCCTGTTGCTATGAAATACTGCTTTTATGTCTATATTCTATATATTGTTTGTGAAGTAAAAATTTATTTGAAGTTCAATTTTTTTGGTTTTTGATTTTTTAATTTTTTTTGTTTTCATTTTGTTTTTAATGAAGGAAGAAAATAAATTATGACAAACCCCATCTATATTTAAATTATCTTTTGCTCTTTTTTCTTTTTCTCCCTTTTCTTCTTTTTCTTTTCTTTCTTGTTTTGTTTTGTTTTTTGTTTTGTTTTTTTGTTACCTCTGTGCGTCTCGTCCACAGTTCGCCGTGTGGCCCCTCGCTTCTCCATCTTGCCTGTCAGCCATGAAATCATGCCCGGTGGCAACGTCAACATCACCTGCGTGGCCGTGGGTTCGCCCATGCCATACGTCAAATGGATGCAGGGAGCAGAGGACCTGACACCTGAAGATGACATGCCTGTGGGCCGTAACGTCTTGGAGCTCACGGATGTCAAGGACTCAGCCAACTACACGTGTGTGGCCATGTCCAGTCTGGGAGTCATAGAAGCCGTTGCTCAGATCACGGTGAAATGTAAGAGAGTGTGAGCACGCCTGCGTGAGCGAGTGCGTGGGTTCCCCGACTGTGCATGTTTGTAGGAGCGTGCATGCACCAGAGTGTGAGCTGCCGCATGGGTGTATATATGTGCAAGGCACGTGTTGGGTGCATGGTCGTAACAGAACGTCTGTGCAAAGCAAATGTGGGCACGTGTCATGTTTATGCATGTGAGCATTTGTAGATATGTAGTCGTGCCAGTCAGCCTTCACTGGTGCATGAGTGGGAATGTCACTGTGTGACTGTGTGGGTACCTGTTTCTGCTTGTGTCTTCATCTGTCTGCATGTGGTGAGCTTGTGACTGTCTGACCTGCACATGAGGAGCGTGGGGACACAATTATGCATGTAAAAAGGTAGTCATGCATGAGTGTGTGTGTGCATGGAAGAAGGAGCAACATGGCTGTTTGGGCATGTGGGTGCCTGACTGCATGTATGTAAGTCCTTGTTGTTACAAGCCTGTATGTACATGTGTAGGTATGTGAGCATGAGCAGGAAGACAAACTTGTGCACCACGAGTGCCATGTGCTGGGATCTGTGCATGCATCTTTGGGGATCCCACACACAAAGAAATCCACAGTGAAGGGGAAGCTGGTGGCTTGAGATCTTTCCTCGCTTTAGGACAACTGAGGTGTTTGTTATGAAGAAAACCGTGATTCAAACTCTTGCATGCTTGTTTCTGTCCTGGGATATGAGGCTGGCTGGACAGTTTGCAAGGAGCCTTGGATGGCTTGAAGCCTGCATGCCATCCTGTTCCAGGGTTAGAGATTCAGCCAAGGCCCTGAGGATCTCTGGCATGTGTGCCCTTGCAACAGAGCCTAGTTCCAGCATCTTAGTGGCCGTTGTTGCCTCAGCAAGAGGGGGAATAACCCCAGCTTCCAGCTAGCAATTCCCAAGAGGAGCACGGGTGCAATCTTCAATCTATTCTGTCCTCAGCAGGGGAGTATTAAAACCCAAGCAGGATGCCCCTGTGGTTGGGTGAGTGTAGAGCTCTTTGTATGAGCTGGTGTCTGCTCTAAGTGCTGGCATTGCCCATGAGGGATGTGGGGGGAGATGGGGTGGGAGAGAATGCGGGCGGGTGGAGGAGAGGAGGAGAAATACTTCAGAGAAGGGGAGGGCTGAAGAAAAACAATCCTGTTGTATCAGTGCATCCGACTAAGGAAGGTCTGACAATAGAAATTAGGGACTAGTGAATCTTGATATGACACTAATCTTGAGCTTTTGCACAGGGCGTGGGCTCATGTACTAGCAGAAGGATACCTGGGGCTGGACTGAGGTGCTCTTTATTTTCCTGAGTATTTTCTTCCTTCCCCTTTTCCCTGTCTTAGACTATCAATTTTAAAAGCTGCTGTGTAAGATACATTGGTTCTGCTTCCAACTATCCTATCTCCTCAGATAGGGAATCTTGCCCTGCTGGTACCTTCTGCCTTTTGTCATTTTATTTGTATTCTGTTCCCCCTGTGTTCCTGCATGTAAGCATCTGCAATCTTTCCCAGTCAGAACATGAAAGGAGAAGTTAGAGCTTTAGAGGTGCTCAAGTCTAGAGATGATGAGGTTGGAAAGGGTCTAAAACGTGTAGTGAGGAAAACATGTAAAGTTTGTTGATAAAGGTGTCCGATGTTTAGCATGCAGTCTCCAGCAAGCTCCAAAGGTAGTCTTCTGGACGAGGGACAAAGGAGATGAGTATTAACACACATTTGTGGCTTGAGAGGAAGAACTCCAAGTACTTATAGTTTTCTAGTTCTGGAGAGCACAGTCCTCACTATACCAATACCTGCACACTAAACATGGAGAGACTCGGCAGTGCTGGAGCCGGGCTGCCAGCGCTGTTTCAGAAGATCTGATTACATGCTCGGAAGGAGCTCCTGCCTTTTCTTACTGCCTTGTGAGCCGGCGGATGTGCAGCTGAAGTCTGTGCTAATGATTCCAGATGTTTAGCTGAACACTTTCCTTTTGATGGAGCAGTTTAAGGAGGATAATAGAGTGTATAACTAGGTTCATAATATTTCGGCAGCACTTTTCTGAACTGCGGCACTGTGATTGGTACTGTGCCTCTGGCTCCTACAGCCCTAACTAGCCCAATTAGGCACCATTTCAGCATATGTGGGTTTTTTTTAAATGTCTGTTCTTCCTGATTCTCAGCACTCCCCAAGGCTCCTGGGACGCCAGTGGTGACAGAGACGACAGCAACAAGTATCACCATCACCTGGGACTCTGGAAATCCAGACCCTGTGTCCTACTATGTCATTGAGTACAAGTCTAAAAGCCAGGATGGACCCTATCAGATCAAAGAGGACATCACCACCACACGCTACAGTATTGGGGGGCTCAGCCCCAACTCTGAGTATGAGATCTGGGTCTCTGCAGTCAACAGCATTGGGCAGGGGCCTCCCAGCGAGTCAGTGGTCACTCGCACAGGGGAACAAGCTCCGGCCAGTGCTCCCCGTAATGTGCAGGGACGAATGCTGAGCAGCACCACCATGATCATCCAGTGGGAGGAACCAGTGGAGCCCAATGGGCAGATCCGTGGCTATCGTGTATATTATACCATGGAGCCTGATCAACCCGTCAGCAACTGGCAGAAGCACAACGTGGACGACAGCCTCCTGACCACGGTGGGCAGCCTTCTTGAGGACGAAACCTACACAGTCCGGGTCCTGGCCTTCACCTCCGTGGGAGACGGGCCTCTTTCTGACCCCATCCAGGTTAAGACGCAGCAAGGAGGTAAGCACCCATGTCGCTAACCTTGGATGCACTGGGCTGCAGGAGGGAGAGGTGTTGGCTTATAGCATTATCCGGCTGTGGCTGTCGTGTCACCAGAGCATTTTTTTCTTTATTGATTCAGTTTGATTAAAATAGAAGTAACCTTCCGGGAGGAAGCTCAGTCCAGTGGCTGGAGCCAGAGGGCCTGGTGCATGATTTCTGATCTGTTTTTTCTCGGAAAGGTTGTTGCTTAAATGGATGGGGCAAGCGAGGTATCTTAGTGCTTTCATTTTCTAAATGTCTTTAACAGTCCTAAAAACACTCGCTGCCCAGGCAATGGTGAAGCTTAACTCTTCTTAAAGTACCTAGAAACTACCTTCTCAGAGATGAGTGGGGAATGAGCCTTATTTTGCCTTTTTTTAAAAGGGGAGCAAAACAAAGCCCTGATTGTCACCACAGATGTGTTGAGCTGAGAACAAAAGGTGTTTTATCACAGGTTGTCACCAAGCATGCTTTTGGGTGCTCTGCTTATGGCGTGGGGTGCTTGGTGAGGAAACCCTGTGTCCCCAGTAGGCTGCTCATGGGTTTCCCACTTCCAGAATCTTTCAATACTGGGGATTAGCGGGAAGGGCTGTATTGTGCACTGCTAAGAAAGAGGCATATGATCCAGTAGGACTTTTCCATCTCCAGCAGCTCTGGACATGCTTGAGTCCTGCAGTGGGATTTAACCCTCCACTGCTTTAAAGGAAGGGCCTGCCCACTCTGCAGTGTGGCATTTTGCTGCTGGCATGCTCTTCACACGCAGGCTTTGAATAAAGCAGGATAAGAGTCTTCTAATCAGCCAAGTTAATGTGGTTTTGCCTGTCTCTCATCTTGCCTCCTCTGCCCCGTTGGCTCCTTCTCTATATCAGTTCCTGGGCAGCCGATGAACTTCCGAGCAGAAGCCAAGACGGAGACGAGCATCGTGTTGTCGTGGAGCCCTCCCCGCCAGGAGATCATAGTGAAGTATGAGCTCCTCTATAAGGAAGGAGACCACGGCAGGGAGGTGAGTCCGGAGAGGAGCAGCGCAAAGGGTTGGGGCCCCGAGGAGCATCCCGGCCCTCCGTTCCCCAAGGTGGCTGAGAGAGGGGAATAGGGCAGGTGTCTCTGGGCAGGGCTTGCCTCTGCTCCTTTTTGTTTGTTTTTATTTTTTTCTTCCCCCTCACCCATCTCAGGTGCCGAAGAACTTCGAGCCAACAACCTCCTTCACTGTGGAAGGCCTGAAGCCCAACACTGAGTATGTCTTCCGGCTGGCCGCCCGCTCGGCTCTGGGCCTGGGGGCCTTCACCCCGGAGGTCAGAGAGCGCACCTTGCAGTCTAGTAGGTGTCTCTCCTTTTCCCACCCTTCTCTGAGGGGAAGACAGTCAGGGAGCCAGAGATGGCGGGCACAGGGGTACGGAGCTGTGGGGCAGACGTTTGCGGTGCTGTGGCGTTTCACATGTCTGGGGTTCCTCTGCAGGGAAGCGGGCAGTGGCAGGGGAGCGGGGCGGGCAGCTTTGGGACCTGCTGCCTTCTCCCTTTGCTGACCCAGATAGACGAGATGTGAACGAAGAGCGGAGCTGGTGCATGCTTTGGGGGGGCGATGGGAGGCCAGTCAGCACCATCCACTTGATGGGGTGGGGAGCAGTGAAGAGCTTGTGGATGGGCCACGCTGGCCCTTGGTGCTGAGCATGCTCAGGGAGGATGGCACCCCACCGTTGCGCAGCAGCTTGCCTGTCCACCAGCAGAAACTGAGCAGCAGCTGTCTGGAAAGGGGGCACAAGCAATGGAGCAGGGAGATGGTGGGGGAATCGGGAGGAAGAGGAGAAGGGAAGGTGGTTAATCAAGAGTCCAGTGTTTTCACCAGCCTTTGGGAAAGCAGTCCTCATGCTCTTTTCCATGAGCAACTTCGTAGCCAAGGGAAGGAAGGCCTGCTGGCCCAGCGAGCGCTGGGAACGGTCCCATTTGGGCTCCAGCAGAGCGGGAGAGAGTCATGTGGAGGCTGTGAGGGGGATATTAATGACACCAGGATGGAGCGTATGCAACCAAAATGTGCTGGTTTTAGTTTAATGGATTGTCTCCCTTCACTGTTGCCCTGGGGACAATAACCCTGGATGGCAATATTTCAACCTGGGCTTTTCACGGATCTTTGCTTTTAAATGAGGTGTTTTTTCACTGCATGAGTGGCTGTGGCAGCTGTTCTTTGTGTTTTCTGTCTCCTCTCATCTCTACTAAATCACTCCGCTGCAGTTTGGAGTAGCCGGGAGCAGAACTAACTCAGAAATGGCTCTGGTCAGCAGTGTGAGGAGAGAGAGCGCCTGCTCCCATCTCTCAGAGTCCTTAACAAGGGAGAGCGGCGGGCTCTGGGCTGGGCGCCTGCCCCATCTTTCCGTTTTAATTGTCACGTCCTGCTGTCTCTCTCTCTTTCCCCTGTCTCTCTCCTCTTTCTCTCCCCCCAGGAGTGGGAGGAAAGGGGAGTCTGTTTCTGCATAGACAGAATTCCGTACTGGGGCTTTCTCAGGCCTCCAGTCCATTCAAATATACTTTGTTTTCTTCTTTCTTTCAAATGTTTTTCCCCTTTTTTCCTTTTTTTTTTTCCCTTACTCTCTCTACGTATCGAAAGAAAATCCTTTCCTGACTGCTGCAAATCTGCTGGTTCTGATCCCAGTATGGTACTGTCAGAGGGAGCATCACTGTGGGGTGGGGGAAAATGAAAGGACCTGAAAAATAAGTGTCAAACTTACTCGCACTGTGCTTCTGTTTTCCAAGGGGTTTCCCTCCTTGAGATTTGTGGGGATGGGAGGAAAAGAGGGTCTGGGATTTGTGCTTTTTGTTTCGATAAAAACACGCTGGATGAGGGGCATGGGAGCTGATGGCAGTAGGGCTTAGTGACGCTGAAAATTTTTCCCTAAAGGGTGAAGAGAAGGGGATCCGGGAAAGGGGAAGGATTTGGGGCTTTTTCTAACTTGGCACCTGCCCATAATGAGGCCTGGTTTATTTCTCTGTAGCTCAGCTTTCATAGGGATAGTTTCATTAATTTAACGCTCGTAAGAACATCAGCTGGGAGCTGTCAGTGTCCTGTAACACGGTGAAACATTTTTTCCTGGCTGGCTGTTGGAGGAACGAGTCAATTCTCCCTGGTCCAGGCGACATCCTTCGGCTCACAGACCTTCTGGCTCGGGACAGGCTTTTGTGTCTTCCCTCTGCAGCTCCTTTTCCGTTCAGCTCCTCCTTGGCCCACTCCATGGCTCTTCTTTCTTTTCTCATCTGCTGTCTGCTTGCCTGCCTGCATGCTCTCACAGCTCCCTGCTCTCTGTCTGTCTGTCTCTTGCTGGGCGGTTTCACACCACGATGGCATCTTGTCTCTGCAACAGCAAAGCCTCCTTCGTCCTCCCGCAGCCTGCTGAGACGTTCAGTGCTCTCCCTCTCCTAGCTCAGCTGGCAAGCATGTGCCTGCATGCCGCAGCCCTCCCTGCATTGCACACCTTTCTGCACAACACCCTCCACCTCCCTGTCAGGGTGGCTCCTCCTGAGCATCATAACCAAAGTAAAATCCATTAAACTAAAGGTAAAGTATCTTTTTCTTCTTGAAGTAGCTGGGTTTTAACTCTTCAAGTACCAGAGACGTAGATTGTAAAAATAACAGAATCTCATGGTTGGAGGAAGCTGTTTTGCCCTTTCTAACTAGCCATGACCTTCCCAGGGCTCCTCGGCAACTCTCCTACTCAGAAATTTCAGAGCGCAAAGCATGCGTCAACAGACAGGGGTGGCAGGGTGGGTGCTGTGAGGCTGCGTGTGCAGGTGTAGAGGAACAATGGGGCTTTCTTACCCTCTGTTCCTTCCTAAGAAAGGATGTTTTCCCCACCCATTAGCTCTGCTCTCCTTCCCTTCCCCCTTCCTCACAGTATATGAAGTGAACGAAATTTATACAAAGTCTATGGTACCTAAAGGGTTAAAAAACATTGTATTGTACAAGGTCAGTAAGGGTCATTCTTGTGGCTTGGACAGTCAACTTTAAAGCATGTAAAAGATGCAGTTCAGGTGAGTACTGGCTGGTCTCAAGCGGATTCACAAATACAGTCCACCCTGTCGCTGCAGGCTTACACACACGTGCGTGGGTCTGCACCCACTCATGTATGTCCTGGAGCCCGTGGGAGGGTGGGGAGGGGATCCCAAAGAGCTGTCTGCCTGGTAAAAAGAGAGACCAGCAGACAAAGATGATGATCTGCTGGCTGGGAGGCTCTTGCCTGTGCTGTGGCTCCCTTTCCAGCAAAGGGGCTGGTTGCAGAGGTGAGCTCACAGCCTCCAGTTTGGGCTGCAGTACTTTGCCTCCTACACACAGCTCCCACCTTCTCGATGCTGTCCCCACGCGCGCAATGCACGTCTCCAGGGTCGCGCAGGTTGGGCTGGATTGTGAAGGAAACTCACAGTGCCATGAACTCCCCAGATGCGTCTCCAGTATGGCCAGCCAGCACTTGGTGGCTCTTTTCATCCAGGTGCTGTGGTCGATGAGAGTGAAGGGGAGGGGGTCCGGGTGGGATCTGGGTCTTCTCCCCCATCACCCACCCACCCTACCTTTTTGACCAGAGAAAGTGCAAACCATCCCAAAAGGAGGCCTCACTCCAGGGCCTCTCGGTAGGTCCCTGTGCTGGAGCGTAGAGGGTGAGTGAGCAAGCGAGCGTGACCACGCGCAGCAGCTGCCAGTGCAAACAGTGAACCCAAGTGCCAGCTGGAGCTCCGGCTCTGCTTACTGGGGCTTTCATAATGAGTTTCAGGATGGAAAGGGTAGGTCAGGTCAGACCCTCTCTGCAGTGGGTTTCTCAGCTGTGGTGGCTTTGGCTGGACTGCCAAGCAGGAAAGGTGGCTTTTAACACTACCAGCCCCTGATGGGGAGAAAAAAGACGTGAACAGTATCATGGCAGGCACTGGAAGAGTCTTTTGAGTCTTTTCCTCCATACCCTGAAAGGGACTTGAGTTGCTTCTGGGGTGTGGGAAGGAGCAGTGCACCTCCATTCTGGAGGTGTTGGTACTGCATTGATCACAGCAGATGGAGAGAGCTATAGGGTGAAGGAGATCCATCAGTGGGAATCTGCCGCCCTGTTCTCTGGTCTCTGTACAGGTAGCTTAGTAAAAGAGAATAGATTGGGGTCCAAAATTGCCGTTACTGCAATAGCTAGGGTTCCACGGCAGTGGGGGAGTAACTCAGTCAGGGGAGGTAGCAGTGGGGCAGGGTGGCATTTTAAAAGCCAGTCATGTGCAGAAACCCACCAGGAGCATGGTCTGGCCTTGTAGCTCAGTTTCTCTTGTTCTCTCGTAAGAAAGTCTTATAAATTAGCAGTTGAAGCATGGAAGGTAGGTAAACAGACTGGGAATGTTCTGGAAGGAGTCACTTTTTATATCAGTATTATTTTATTATTATGATTTCCTTTCTGATTTTTTTTATTTTAAATTACTGGATTGATTTATGTTTTATTTTCCAGTTTGTTACTTTTGGTTTTGTTTGTTTGACATATTTTGTATTATTTTGCGTGGCTAGCCATGGCCGGGGATCGTCACCCTCTGCAGTGGGATTTCTGAGGATAAGGGTTTCATTCTGCCATTTTAAATACAGCCAAAGCATAGCAATAAAGCATGGAAGTAGGAGGACAACACCCAAATGTCCTACTGGACAGAGTGCTCAGCACTGCAGTGTAAGGACTATCTTCACCCTTTCTGCAAAACCCTCTGACTTCTGTTTGATGGAGGCATACACAAAGCGTGTGGCTTTCACTCCAGTGTGAACTGGGAAAAGTGTGACTTGATTTAGCAGAGTCCTCAAGGCAAGCTGGGCCTAAACATCTGTTTGTGACTCAGGGATGGGAGTAAGAAGTTTGAAAAAATCATTCCTCAGTAAAAGAGCTTTTTGTTGATTAAAAAGCAACAGAGAAATGAGAAATGGCATTTATCTATTCTCTTGCTTCTTGCAGGTGATGCTTTGGGGGCTTGTAAGGACACCCCAGTTTCTGGCAGTGTCTGCAGAGAGTTAAAAGCTATTTATTGCAGTTTGACTGTATTGGGTGAGATCGGATTTGCAGATTTGCCTGGAAAATCACTCTTTCTGCTTACCTGGGCTAATTGATTGTAATTAGTGATTGAAAGAAGTCTGGCTTAAGATTTCCCGAAGTGCCCAGGTTACGGCTGGGGTACAGAAGTGGCAGACTCTTTGTCGAGACTTCATCAAGGTCTCAGATCTGTGGCATCTCCACTGACAAACCTGTCTTTCTTGCAGTTCTCCCTGTATCTCATGCATGGCTATGGCATAGCAGCGTGTGCCGCGGCACGTAGTGTCTGACGGAGCTGGTGTCAGTGTCCTGCTTCCTACTGAGCAGACCATGCTAAAAATTACCTACTGCAGCTCAGTGAACTCGAAAGTGAGCAGCCCTGCACTAAAAAGCTGTGGTTTACACCTTCCCCATCTCCTGAAAATCAGCCTTTAGACAGTTGTCTGCTGCCACCGCGAGAACATGCAGCTGCGTAGGGCCACGTTTCCAAAGGTGTCCTCCTAGGACTTTCAGAAATACCTTGAGGTAGTTTAGGCAGTAAATGCAACGGGAGTTAGACCTGCTGCTCCTTCTGAAAATCCCACTGGGTACCTGAATACCTTGTCAAACCCGCTGCCTCACTCCTTTGCAAGTCTTTTCTCTAAAACCCTCCTATCTAAACACATTGTGGGCTCATTGCTTGGCAATATCCTGGGCATTATTACCATGTTTTTTCACCTCCTTCAGTCTGTGGACAACTAATAACTTCCATCTGGAGGTACAGACTCTTAAATTTAAGCCTTTTGGCAAAGGATTTGCTTTTCTTACTTACTTTTCACAGATGCCTTCAAAGAAATTCAAGATCCCAGAGACTGCAGTTTGGAAAAAAGTGCTTTACCAGCCAGGGCAGGATTTGCCAGACTGCTGTAAAACAGGGAGCTAAAGGAAAGTCTTTTATAGGGTAAAGCTGGGTCCTTAGTTTTGTGCCAGCCACACTTATTAGAAACAGCAGGACCCCTCTTGGCTAGCCCGCTTGCTGTTTTAGTCCTTTGCTTTGTAACATTTCAGTTTTGATGCCCCATTTCATTTCCGTTGGCTTTTTTTCTTTTCATTTAAAAAAAAAAAAGACAACAACAAAAAGCTCTCTTCTTTTTTAATTTTATCTTCCTAAACCAAATTTTTGTATGTTTTATTTTAGATTTTTTTGTTATCATTTTCCTTTTTTTTTTCTTTTATCTTTCCCATCTTTTGTTTTTTCCCCCTTCTTCCCTTTCCCTCCTGAATTTTCCCCCCTCGTAGAACCGTCTGCCCCCCCTCAAGACGTAAAATGCGTCAGCACCAGATCCACCGCCATTCTGGTAAGTTGGCGGCCGCCTCCGGCCGAAAGCCAAAATGGCGTCCTGGCTGGATACAGCGTCTACTATCGAGCGCTGGACTCTGAGGACACGGAGCTTAAGGAGGTGAATGATATCCCCCCAAGCACCAGTCAGATCCTACTGGAGTCCCTGGAGAAGTGGACAGAGTATCGCATCACTGTCGTGGCTCATACGGAGGTGGGGCCGGGCCCGGAGAGCTCGCCGGTTATCGTCCGGACAGATGAAGATGGTAATTGCACTTTTTCTGGTTTTCTCCCGAGTCCCCTGGTGAATACGTGTCCCTGGAGTGGGCTTTTCCCACGCTGGGGAGGACACGTCGAGTCCCTTCTCGTGGCTGATGTATGGTGCAAGAGCAAAGCCAGAATGGGGCCTCAACAGAGCCTCCGTGACGTGCAGCATCCTTTGCTGCCATCTCCCTAAGCCCCTCTGAGCAGTGGGGTCTGTAGGGTTGTCCTTCCCTGCTTTAGGGTTGGGTTTGTTTTTTTTTATTTCTGGGTGTTTTTTTAATGTCAAGCCTCTGAGCCTTGATTGCACCACTTTCCCTGAAAAGATACTCTTACTGAGCAAAGAAGCAGCTGAGGCAGCAAGGAAATGAAATCAGAGAAGAGGAGACGATTGCTGCCAGAAACTGTTTTAAAATATTAAGAGTTCTTCCCACACATTCCTTGTTACTAGCTCCTCTTTAAGTCAAAGTTTTGGTTAGTGGTAAAAAGGAATAATCTCTTTCTTAAAATGACAAACAATTTAGACTCCGTTTCAGTGGCCCAGCTTAGAGACTTTTAGCACAAACATGGACAACGAGACTTGAACTTTCCTGGTATTTCTACAGTAAAATAAAACCAGGAAAAAATGTGAATGTGTGCATGAAGGGAGACCACCCTCACTGTGAAGGTGAGGTAGGACCCTCAAATAATATAGGTCAAGTAAATAACATAAGTAAAATCCAAACTTCTCAGGCTTTCTTCTTCCATCCCAAATAAAAAGAATTTTTAAAAAAGCAACAGGTTTGTCCCCAGTGTGGGTCCTGTTTTCCCTGAGCATCTGCCCACATCCAAATGGATAGAATACCTTGATCAGAGAAAGTATGATTTTCTTCCAGATGAAGCTGTCATGCACTGTATTATCATCATCATCATCATCATCATCATCATCATCATCATTTCCAAAAATTCAGCCCAAATTCCGTCCAAGACATCTCTTGTTTCTTGTCCTGAGGTTGTGCAGCGGCTATAACCACCAACCCACCTGCCCTGCCTGAGAGACAAGGGAACTCCAAGGGCAGGTTCCCCTCCGCATCCTTTCCACCCTATCATTCCACAGGCAGGACCAGAGCTTTTCTGGCTCATTAGAAATTGGCTTTGCCCTCAGAATGTGATCTGGAACTATATGGTTTCTTCCATCTGAGCAAACTGGGGACAAAGGAGCCTGTGGAAGAATGGCTGGACTATGAGATGGACCTGTTTCCCTGCATATCTCTGAGCCATGCAGATTAGATCCCCCAGAAATGCTTCCCTGTTTCACTGAATAAAGGCCACGGACAGATGATGGGATATCTAGTTTGTTAAGTCTCCCCCTCCTTTCGGGACTGTAGATTCAGTGTGCACATGTCCCATAGCCGAAGTGAGAGGCTCCAGATAGAAATCCCCAAGTGACTCTTACCCCTTTCTTCCCTTCCTCGCAGTGCCCAGTGCGCCGCCTCGGAAAGTGGAGGTGGAGGTGCTGAACTCAACTGCAATCCAAGTGTTCTGGCGCTCTCCAGTCCAGAACCGCCAGCATGGCCAGATTCGCGGCTACCAGGTCCATTATGTACGCATGGAGAACGGAGAGGCCAGGGGGCTGCCCCAGATCAAGGATGTCATGCTGGCTGATGCCCAGGTAAGGACTCCCCTCCTACTTCAATCTCCTCTTCTCTCGTGGAAGGTTTGAGAGGGTGGGTGCTCCAGCCGCCTTGTCTCACCCAAGCAACATAATGCCGGAGAAAGTAGATGAGTGTCTCTGTGACAAGGTATATGTTGTATTTCTGCAGTTCATTTGCACTCCTAGACAGTAGCTATTGTGGAAGAGTATGAACTGCTGTCCCGGCACTGAACTAAATAACCATCCATGCTCCCTGTGTCTGGGAAGTCTTTTAAGACAGGCGAAGGCCACAGTGGAATCTACTAATTTCTCGCACTCTACTTCTTCCTTCATGCTGGCCTGGTAACTTCTGACCTTGTGTGGCTGCTTGCTCAGGGACTCCTTCCTCATGCTGTGTCTCTGTCTTTCCCTTCTTTCCCCTCTTGTATTCTCATGTGCAAAACCTCTCTTGTTCTCTGCCCAGTGGGAAACAGATGACACTGCTGAATACGTAAGTAAAAAAGTAAAAATCCTCCCATCCTGGTTCTGTCCCTTCCCTTCTCCCACTTCCTATTGTGGTGTGATATTTTCCTTTTCCTTTGCAGTGCCAGTGTGCCTGTTTTAAAGCCTGTTGTTGGTGTTCCCATGCGTTGTCCCTACCCTGTTCACTTTGCTCTGCAACCCTGTGTGATTGTGTAGTTTGTCAGCACGCAGCAATACTGCAGGGTTTTCCCCTCAGCTCTGAAGGGAAGATGAGTCCGCTGCTCCTCCATGGGGAAGCAGATGGGATGTTGAATTTGGGACTACCTTGAACATATGCTTAAAGATGGGCTGGTCTGCAAGCACCTCTGGCTTGTGTCTGAAAAACATAGTTAGGCTGAAAAGCACTGGGTATTCAAAGCCCCATAAGTCCTAAGCTAACAGGGCATGAACAAATGCTTTGAGCCCTTAAAGGGCCAAGATTCTTAGATCGTCGTTGATACAAAGCACTGAATCACTATTGATGCTTTTACCTTTTAAGTAGACGTTAAAATCAGCTTGGCTGTTTGGCATTTGCTACTTCTGCTAAAATGCTGAATGTTTTCCGTGATCTTACAGCTACAAAGCAGTAGGAAAAAGCATTTCCTTCTTGGAATGGCAGGGTCCCAAGATAATGCACTACTAAATTGAATGTATTCATGTCTCCTGGAGATTGCCAAGTGCCCTACAAAAGTGAGGGACCTCTCTTTTACAGATGGAGAAACTGAGTCACATGACAGGCAAAGTCTCTTGCCTAAAATCTTAATAAAACTCAGTGGCAAGTGTGAAAGCAGAACAGGTTTCTTGACTCCTAGAAGACAGACCTGGCTTCCAAACTTGTTGATAAAAATCCCGCTGTTTTGATGTTCTGCTGTTCCACTCCCTGCTCAGCTCTGGGGGCAATACAGATATTTTCAGGACCAGCAAATTCTTCCCAAGTGCTGCCTTCAGATTTAATATTGAAAGTACCAAGGGGCAGTGTGGGGTGAGAGGAGAGGAAGGCCATAAAATGTGCACAACATTCACATCTCCCTCCTTCTCAGGGCCTTGGAGAAAACCCTGCTGCATATGCTCTCATCCTGTTTGATTTAGCATGGGTATTCCTTTTTACAACGCAGCCCTTTGAAGGGCTGAATACTTCATGGGAAAGGGCTGTTCTTGAGGCCAGTCTTCTAACAAAAGCTCTTGGGAGCCAGGTGTGGTGAGGCTGATAGAGGATGGAGGAAGGAGGGTATTGGGGATTTAGCAGAGAGCTTTAGCGTGCAAGCAGAAAAAGTCATCTTGCACTTTGCGTTAAAGCAATCCCTTTAATATTATGAAGGCATTAAAAAATATCTCTGAGGAGAAATGGGAGGGGGGTAATGGAGAAAAAAATGTAATCTCCTTGAAACTGCTGAAACCTCCTCTGAGACGGCATAGTGAAGAGGAACACTTTGAAGAGCACAACAGCATTTTGATGGCTGAAGCAGTTTGTGTTGAGATAGGGAATGTGTGAGAGGTAGATCTGGAAGAGGACGCATTGAACCAGGGCCCTGGTTCAGAGACATGCTGTGTTTACAGAGGGACTGTTTGCAGCCGGGGTCTGTGTGCCTCGGGCTAAGGGAACGTAGAGCTCATCCTCCTGCCGATTGCCACATATACCCAGTTGCCCCAGAGTGTCTCGTGGTTTCAGATTCAGTGAGTGTTTCTGCATGCTAGAAAAGGGCTGAGATTTCTGCAAGGAGGAGAGATCTACATGTGTGTATGTACCTGAATATTTACATGATTTTCCTTTGGAATCTTGCAAACAGGAAATGATCATTGCTGGGCTCCAGCCTGAGACTGCGTATTCCATTACCGTAGCCGCCTACACCATGAAGGGAGATGGTGCTCGCAGCAAACCGAAAGTGGTCACCACGAAGGGTGCAGGTAAGAGTCTCTTCCTGAACCGTTGGGATTCAGGTTTCCTAAAGCCAAGAAGCTCTTTCTCCAGACTGAGCTTCTTTCATCCCACTCCCTTCATGAAGGACAGACTTGCAACAAATGCCATGCTGCCCCGAAGACAAAATTATTTCTTGTAAGGCAGAAACCCCTTCATTCCTCACAGGTAGCCCTCACTAAATGACACAATTTTCTGTCCAGTGCTGCAGAAAGCCCAGACACACCCAGAAATGCAACAGAGGATGAATTGATTGCTTGTAATCTCTTGTACTATAAATTCCAGTGCACCAGAAGTAAAGCGAATCTCTGCCTGGTCTAAGACTGTGTAGCTTTGATGTTTGGTGCACACAGGTACCCTGGGGAAGAAGAGAGCCAGAGGTCTGCTGTCATGGTGTTGACTTTCAAAGATCTGAATAGCAGCAGGAAGACAGTGGTGGCTTATGCTGCTCACTCTTCTTCTAGTATCGTGTCTGAATATACATCCCTTCTTTGCTCAGGACTAGCAGAAGGAAAAGTACTGACAATATTGAACTTTCCTTGCAAGCATTTCTGGGACCAGGGCTCTGTCTGCACATACCACCCGGATTCATTCCTCCCTTTGACCTATTCTTTGTGGCAAAGTGTCTGTCAGCCTCAATACAGAGGATGCAGTGCCAAGCTAGGATGGCAGGGCCTAAACAGAAATGACAAAGGGCAGCAGGGTATGCTGTTGTGCTGCAGGCAGAAAGGAGAGGTACACACTCCACCTGTCCTCTCAGCATCTGCATTCCTGTGGTTTCTGCTCTCATGGCTAAACCACTGCTCTGCAGTATGGGAAGGGTTTCGTGCAGTGGAGGAAAACTATGGTGCCTAGACCTGGAGTTGTCCCTCATCCAGCCCATCTCTTGTTGGACTGTGGTTACCTTCTCTCACCCCATTTTGCTTGTGCTCTTTCTTTTGTTCCTGCTGTCAGATGATGGCTTTCTCCCCTTTTCATTTCTTTTCTTTTTCTACTAACTTCCCAACCCTGGCTATCTGTTCATTTTCTTAGTTTTGGGGCAGTCATCTTCACCCTGCCTGTAGCAGCTGCATAAACTGACGTCATCCCTTTTTTCTGGAAGAACATTGCTCTCTGCCTCTGCAGGGATAGAAGGCCTTCGGTCAGTGCAGCATAATTAACCTGGAAACCTCTGCTCAGGCTCTGGATGCAGCACAGACACTCAGTCGAGTGCAAAGGACAGAGGGGGCTCAGGAGCCCTGGCCTGGAACACACAGAGCTGGAGCCATGGCTGCCCTCCATACCCTTGGTTTTTCCCTGTCCTAACTCACATCTTCATCTCATTTTATGTTCTTGTGTTCAGACAAGTGAATGGGATTTCAGCCTTTCTCCCCCCTCTTGCCTCTCCTGCCTAGTTAAGAGAGCAGTACGCAAGAAAACAAGGTTGCTTTCCAGGACACCAACTCTTGCAGATGTTACAGCAGGGTACCTTTGGATGTCAGCATCCAGGCTCCTGTCCTCATGCCTTGTAGTGTCAGTGCGCTGTCAGAAGCCTTTTCCTTCACTCGCCCTCTTCTCCTTCCCCCTCCGGCTTTGCCCATGTTTCTTCTCACTAGCTCCCTGGTTCTCTCTTCTCGTTTCTTTCTTCCAGAGGCTCTCTACCCTTTTCATTTTTCTCTCCCGGAGCCTTTCTCTCTACCTCCATCCCTTGTCACTCTCTCTTGTCACCCTCCCTCATCTCTCCCCATTAGGATTTGCAGTGCAGGTGATCAGTCACAGAGGGATGTTTTCTCCAGCACAGCAGCTATTACCCAAAACTCAATTTCCCCCAACTTGAAATAGCTATTTTAAAAAAAATCTTTCAAATGGCTCTGTAACATTCTTATCTTCTTTGCAGTGTTGAGTCAATATACCTTCTGAGGAGAGATTTCTTTCTCTATCATTCAGGGCTAGGGGCTGAATTTAAATACAGTAATACATCCAATTTTCTCCTTTACTGTCCAAACCAATTGCAAAATAAAACACTCCCCCCCCCGCGCTTTCTTCTCACCTTTCTTCCAAACTATATTTGTTGTGCAAATGTAATATTTTCAAGCTCAGCTGATTATAGTAACATTTGTGATAAAAACCAAAACATAAAGGTAATGGCATTGTTTTTCTCTATAATGGGTTTCTTCGGCATTTCCAAGGGAGGCTCTCCCAGCACTGTTCCCTAGCCATTCTTTGGCAGTTTAAAATGAATAAAGCATTTGTTTCAGAGGCAACCCCTCATTCCCGTGTTCAGATGTCAGTCGATACAGCAGGCAGAGTGGTTTCCCCAGTTTGACTCTGCCAGGATCCCTGACACAGGCAGCATCCTTCCCTGCTGGCTCCCTCCTGCTCGCTTTGTGAGCCACACTACAGCTTTCCAACCTGCCGACCCTCAGTCGGACTCGTGCTGCGAGAGCGGGACAGGATCTCTCCTAACTCCCTTCTCTCTCCTCCTCCTGTTCAACCAGAAGAAATACCAAGGCGGAGAGAAGGAAATTAGATCTCTAATAGTGGAGATGAGTGTAAATGACGCGTGAGCTGCTGGAATTAATGCTCTGGTTTCTCCAGCTTCAGGAACCACTGGGCCTACACATGTCATTTAACTGTGGCTGTGGGCTTGCTTAGCAGTTGGGCAGTGCCAGGGCTCATTAGACAGAGGCACAACACTGCTGAGCTCCTACCATATCCCCCCAAATGTGGAGGAACTAACTGACAGGTTAAGGAGGGAGTAACTGAAAACACACCAACACTCAGCTTTCTTGTCCCTTCCTCCAGAGGAGAGAAACTACACAGAGTGAGCAGCAACTCTCCTTACCCTCTGCCTCATACAGATTTTGGGCTCTGTTTCCACACTCTGTGTGCTTCCTTCTTTCTGTACCCAACTGGGTAATCAGATGCCTGCCAGACTCGCTTAGCTGGCCTTGTGCCTGCTGCTCAGGACCTGGAGCTGCCCAGACTTCCTTTCCCATCCTCCATTACTTCACCCTCAGCTGCTCTGGACTTCCCAGCCTGAGCCAATCTGTTCCAGTCTCTTTCTGCACGAGTTGTGCTGTGTAGTGGAGAGAGAGAGAGAGGACAGGAGTTTGGGGAACTCTGCATTTGTTCTTCTCTGCCCTGGGAAGCAATCTGCTCGGGTGATTAGGATAGGAGGCTGGGAGTGAGGATTCCTGAGTTTGTTCTTCCCAGCTGTGGGAGAGTACGTGATCCAGTGATACGGGAGGAGCTGTGCACACCTTTCCATCCTGAGGAAAGAGAAGAAAATAATTCCAGAAATGTGTCAGCACCTCACAGCTGACAATTTGGCAATGCACCTCATTGCCTAAACTTGATAGAGACCATCCACCTGTACAGTGGGTGGGTAGCAGCAGCAGCTCGGTTTACAGGGGGGTACACTAAAGTACGCAGAGTCAAGCTGAAACCTTGCCACTGATTTGAGGAACCTGTCGCTGCAGCTTAAGAGTCTCTGCATCTCCTCACCAGCCACCCTGTCCCATGTTTGACTGAAGGTGTCCCTCTTCTCTCCCAGTCCCAGGGAAGCCCATCCTGTCTGTGCACCAGACAGAGGAGAACACTCTTCTGGTGAAATGGGAGCCTCCATTGGATGCAGAAGGCCAGGTGATGGGCTACCGCCTCCAGTTTGGCCGCAAGGATGTCGACCCTCTGGCTACCTTGGAGTTCACGGCCTTGGAGGATAAGTACACCGCTCCCAGCATCCACAAGGGCGCCACATATGTTTTCAAGCTGGCCGTGAAAAGCCGGGCTGGCTTTGGGGAGGAAGCTGTGCAGGAACTCACCACCCCTGAAGACATCCCCAAGGGTTACCCCCAAATCCTCGAGGCGAGCAACATCACTTCCATGTCGGTCCAGTTTGGCTGGCTCCCCCCCGTGCTGGCCGAGAGGAATGGAGCCATCGTCAAATACACCGTGGCCTACCGGGAAGCCGGTTCTCCCGGCAACCCACTGGAAAAAGACCTGCCCCCCTCCCCAGAGAACTCATACACCCTCAACGGCCTCAAACCCAACACCGCCTATGATGTTAAAATCCGTGCTCACACCAGTAAAGGCCCCGGGCCATACAGCCCGACTGTCCAGTATCGGACGTTCCAGCTGGATCAAGGTAGGACTTACCGGTTCCTTCTCTCTCCCTCTCTCTCCTTGTAACCGGGGCTGGTGCCGGGAGGCAGAGAGCTGGAGAGGTCAAGCCAGGCTCAGCCAGGCTCGTGAGTAAATGCAAAGCACTCTGGTTTCACACTCAGTCCCTCAGCTCCTCTCTGCCTTGTGCCAGGTAAGTCCCTTTTACCACTTTCTTCTGAGTTAAGTCCGGACACCCTTCTTTCACTGGCACCTGAAGTGGGGGGCCAGTCGCTATACAGGTGGGAAGAGTATTTTCTTCAGCTTTTGCAAGCAGCCAAAAGAAAACAGAAAAATCAAAAAAACTCAAAACGTGACCTGGAATGGGTTTCCTCACCTGAGCATGCTCAGAAAGCCAGCACCTTGTTCCTGCAGCAGCCACCCAGACCCATAAATGTGTGGGCAAAGCCACGCACCCTCCCTCACCCCTCCCGGGGGTTAGGCATGGGGACAGGGAGCACTGGGAGGTGGACCTTGGCAAAACTCAAGCAAAGTGTGAAGGAGGGAGCGAGCCCTTCCATTCCTGCAGCGGCAGCCAGACCCAGACTGGGCAGGCCCTTTTGCCAGTGCCTGACACTCTCTTCCTTCTCTTTCTTGTTCTTCCTTCCCTCTGCTGCCTTTTCTTCTCCTTTCTCCCCCTCCTCCTCACTTTTCTCTCAGCAGTTTTACCCAAAAACTTCAAGGTGAAGATGGTGACAAAGACATCTGTCCTTTTGAGCTGGGAGTTTCCTGAGAATTACAACTCTCCCACCCCATACAAGGCAAGTGGAAGGGAGCAGTCAGAACTCCCTTCTCATTTTCCTGGGAGTCTCGACTGTTGGTTTGAATAAGAGGTTTTAAGAGGCAGGAATTCTGGATTCAGTTCTCAGATATGGGCAGATAATGGTTAATCACTAGATCAAGGAGATGGGTTGATAATCAGGGCTGTTGGTTTGCATTCCCACCTCTGTTACCAAATCATTGCCTCCCTAGGCAAGTTACTACAATTTACCCATTTCCAGATAAAAATTTCTCTTCCCAGAGAAGTCTCAAGGCTTTGTCCTGCATCTGCCTTATACCTGGGAACCCTCTTGTGCAGTGGGCACAAGAGACAGACGGCTTCCCACTCAGATGTGGCAAACACTATTCCTGTGTTTGCTCCAGCTCTGGCAGAGCTGGGTGGAGCATGGCACAGCTGAGTGCCCCACATTCTCTGCAAACCGAAGCAATGGGGAGGAAGGAGTTTGGTTGCTTGAAGAGTATCAGCCTCGCTCATGGTACAACTTCGCTGCTTGTTCGTCTCCCACAGATCCAGTACAATGGGCTGAACGTCGATGTGGACGGCCGCACCACCAAGAAACTCATCACCAACCTGAAGCCCCGCACGTTCTACAACTTCGTTCTCATGAACCGGGGCAATAGCATGGGTGGCTTGCAGCAGAATGTTGCTGCCTGGACTGCTGCTGACATGTTATCAAAGAAGCCAGAGGTGACCCACAAGCCTGATGCTGATGGCAACGTGGTGGTGATTCTCCCAGATGTGAAGAGCTCTGTGCCTGTCCAGTAGGTTTTTGTTAAACTGCAGATGTTTATGTTGCAGAGGTCAGCCCTGACGGCTGGAGTCCACAGTAGAAACCCTCAAGGGCAGTGACAGAGGGTGTGTTCCTGCATTGTTAGCTTTGCTTACTGTTGTCTTTTGGAGCTACTTTCTAGAGCTAACAGGGGATGCTAAAGAAATGCAAAGGGAGTAAATGAGGAGACATGTAATGTGGGGCTGCTACTGAATCCAGGCTTGTTCCAGGAGCAGCAATAACAACTGTGCTAAATTAAAAATAAGGGACTTGCTGGGTTGGGCCAGTGGGGCTGTTGGGGCAAACCTAGCCTTCCACATTAGTGTGTGCACTCTCTTCTTCTGTGGCTCATAGGAGATTAATTCCTTCTATTTCTTCTGATTATTCCCAATTCTAAGGGCCTACTACATTGTGGTGGTGCCTCTAAGGAAGTCCCGGGGAGGACAGTTCCTCAACCCCTTGGGCAGCCCTGAGGAGATGGACCTGGAGGAGGTGAGTGTGGGTGAAACTGAAGCCAGCTGTAGGGAGAGAGCAAACAGATGTAATGGATGGGATGGTGACCTGAGAGCCTGGGAAGGGTGGTTTTGGGGTATCTGTGCTCCACGTTCTGAGTAGCTAAGGTGTGGCCAGTCTGAGTGGGATGGTGGG